GGACTCCCCCACATAGCGGTCCCGAGAAGAGCAGCACCGGTCGTGGCTCCCTAGTGCCTCGAAGCCTGAGGGCGGAATTCATTCGAGGGGAACTGATCGTAATTAATTGCAATCACCTCCCCTCCGAGTCGGGGTACAAGCCATGGCGCACGGAGTTCCGGTAGTGTTCGCAAGAGATCCCGGAGCTCCCCCGGCGCGCCGGACGAGTATCACCGATCTCGCCTACCCGCCCCCCGATTTCTCACTCTAGAGGGATGATTTGACTCCTCCCTCGACCTCTCGGCGGCCTCCTTCTGCTGCATGATCTGCTCGCAGAAGGAGGCCACCGCTTCCCAGGACCCCTCGCCAGCCAACATGGCCCTGATTAGGGCCGGCGGCGAGAGGTCCTGGCCAATTACACCTACCAGGACCCGGCGCTCCACCTCCCACGCGGTACGCTCCGCGAGGGTGTGTTGCACCGAGTCCTGTCGTCCTCCTTCGCAATGGTAGCATCCGTGGTCCACCTCCTTTCCGATCCGGACCAGGTACTCCCCGAAGCAACCGTGCCCGGAGAGCACCTGGGTGACCCGGTATGTAAGTCGCCCCTTGTCGCGGTCCACCCACTCGTGGAACGACGGGTGACCCGCCCCTACGGCGCGCTGGCCTACCATCCCTGACAAGTGGTCCTTCCACTTGGCCAGCGCGACCTGTCAGGACTGGCGCCTCAACACTTCGACCTTTTGCGCCGACGGGATCGCCCCGCCCCGGCGGAGTTCGCGGAGACGCCCATACACTTGGGCGTCACCCTCCGCCAGGAACTCGAACGGGGCGAGTCCCGCCAGCGCCGTCGACGCCTCGTGGGTGATCGTGCGGAATCCCCGGGCGATTCTGATGGCCATACCCCTCTGTAACCAGCGGAGCTTTGTCAGGCTCCGCCTACTGGCCATCAGGTCGCCCGCCCACACGGGTGACCCGTAAAGGGTCATACTCCGCACGATCCCCTCGTAGAGGCGGCGAACCCACTCGTTAGGTCCCCCGAGATATGGTAGGAGGCGGCCCAACGCGGCCGCCGCCCTTTCCACTCGGGAGACCATGCGGTCGAAGTGTTTCTCGAAGCGCCAGCGGCTGTCCA